TGAGCCTGGTTCTGCCGGAGGTTTCTACCTTTTGAAAGGTAGTTTTTCCTCCCCACTGTCGCCAAGTGCTTGCTCATAGGGGATTGTTGGGTTTTTTCTTTAGTTCAGTTCAATTCAATTCATTTGTATGTAAATACTGTTGGATTGAATTGAACTGAACTAAAGACGATTTTTAGGAGACTGAGTAATCACTGAGTGAACCAGGGTATTATAACATCTTGTCCATAAATAATTACGATCAACCCATTAAATAAACTATTGGATTTACCAAAACATCTGAAGTGTGAACATTTAATTTTGTCTCATTTAAAACATATGAAAATGTCAAATTACAACAATCTAACAGCAGAAATGAAAATGTTTACATCCTGGTTGAAAACTTTGTTCTGTGAATGATATCCACTGTGTCTGTGCAGCTGATGCCTTTTGAATTCCTAATAGCATCTATCAAGTAATATGCCTTGCTCAGTGGTTCATGGAAGTATTAACAGTTTTGGTAACTGGCTTTATAAATTGAAATTCTACAGCCTTATACTAGTAAACGCGTGTGCTACATGAGGGAGGCAGGTCGAGTCAGCTCAGTATCCAGCCGTTATTATGAAAGTTTTCTTGTTGGCATCCACTGACGCAACAGCTCATAACAAAATGGTGCAAACAGAGGTGAATCCACATAATTATACTTTTCATATCTGAAAGTCCGGAAGAGCACAGTGTTATGTAAAACAGTAGGAAATTAGTTTTTGATTTATAATTTCTTTGTTGTAACAATGCTTTGTGGCAATAAATCTTATAAAAAAAAGCCTGTATATATTTTTTCTTTTTTTACCATCAAATAGTGATACGTTTGTAAGTAAAATGTTTTATTGATTAAACAGCAGAGTTGAGTATGTGGGTTAAATGCATAAAAAACTTGCCCACTCTGGAATGCCCTACACCAGGGGTGGGCAACTCCAAGCCTCGAGGGCCGGTGTCCTTGTAGGTTTTAGATGTGTCCTTGAACCCACACATCTGATTTAAATGGCTAAATTAGCTCCTCAACATGTCCTGAAGTTCTCCTGAGGCCTGGTACTGAACTAATCATGTGATTCAGGTGTGTTGACGCAAGGTGAGATCTAAAACCTGCAGGACACTGGCCCTCGAGGCCTAGAATTGCCTACCCCTGCCCTACAGCATGGGTGTCCAAATCCAGTCCCCTGCATCAAGTTTGATTCAGGTGTGTCAGAACAAGGATCCATCTAAAAGCTGCAGGACAGTAGCTCTCCAGGACTGGAGTTGGACACCCACGCCCTACAGCTTATTCTGATGTTGTCTCTTGTTTTGGGCTCCTGGTATCCCAGCAGCTGACAATCATGTCCCTGATTGGGGCCTGATTAGCTGCACCTGTTAGCATGGACGCTGCTACAGCTAACAGTCAGTGTCTGCTCTAAGCATGGCATGTTTGACTGATTAAGAAAGGGCCAGTGCCATAGGGCAACTTCAAGCTGGTGTTAGGGCTAACCCAGCTCAAGAATACAACAACGTAAGAACACAGTTTCCTCACCTCCTCAGCACATAAGACTGCTATGCTGTCTTTTACAGATTTGCAATCAAGGTTTGCACAATATGAGTCTAGATTCTGCCAATTATAGTTGCATCGTAGGTTTAAAGTGTGGCGAAGCTGACTGACTGGCTGTGGATGTCATCCCACAGCAGTGTGTGATCAGTATGAGGAGGAAGTGAAAGGCTGGTTTGATTGTGTCTGGTTCTTCCATATGCTTGTCTTGTTTGTTCTTACTTCATCCAATCCAACAAAAAACATTAAAGGAGAGTCAACGGGAGAATAAACTGTTTGACAACTGTTGTTCATGGGTGTAGCCCACATACGCAACTGTTCTGCTCAACCGACAAATCCATTTTCATTACCAGTGTGGCTAGATTTCAGGAGAAATGAACAAGCTTTCCAACAGTATAAAATGTATTGCCAAGAAGCATTGTTACAACAAAGAAACAATCAACCAAACACAAATGTCTTTACTTTGTATGTTAAGTTTACATATACATTTTCATGTGCAGAAACAACTTGGAAGATAACCCCCTAAATTTTGATAGTTGAAATATGTAGATCTATGACATGTATGAGGCATAAAAAAACCCAAAAACAAAACTAAAACAAGTATATTATTTAAAATAAACTGAACCTGAAACACTGACAGCTGAGAATCGAACACATGACTGTATCACCTGTAAATGTAAAACACTGACAGACACAATGAGTACTTCAGATTCTGATAAATAAATTTCTTAAAAAGCCTGAATATTTTGACATTTTTAAATGCAGGACTACTTGTTGTCATGGCGTCATGGCTGATATTTTCTTACTATTAAATGATCTGAACAGTTCTTAAACCTCTAAGTAAAGTCTGCTGAGTAAGAAATTTAGATTTACCTGTGACAATCAAAAAGACTCCAGGC